GGCTAGACGGGAAAAAAACAAAGTTTTTGTCATCACTGCTTCTCAATTAACAAAGTGGACCTAGAGCAACTTCACCTGACTTCATTGGACGCCTCACCAAAACCATAATGGCGGAACGACCACAGAATCCCGTACAATTTAGGCAGTTAATACCTTAAAGGTGTTGTTCACCTTGCCAAAGTGGAACCCTATTAAGTAGATGAGTGGAGCTGGCAATATGGGACTGCCGGCCTGCCAATGCTTCACCTATCTTGGGTGTCTGGGTAATGTGCCTGCCTAAGGTAAGACAACCCAAAAGGCCATGCACAACGAGAAGATTTGCTTGACATTTTCGAGTAATACGATAGGCGTCAAGGTTGCCAACAGCAAATAAACGCTTGTGGTGCAACTAGTCATCAAAAGTCTGTGAAATGTCATTTCTTTCATCTGTGTGGTTATCACCAGCCTAACGGAAAATAGCTGAGTTGGCTTATCCCCAGTGCGATTCGACTGTGACAGCGAGAAAGCAGACATTGAGAGACAGGGGCACCACATCTGTCGGACCCCCACAGGCTTGCTAATCTCTTTATTTACGCATACAGATGGGTATGAGTCAGCTTGTCCGGACATGTACTACCAAGTTTGGTTACTCATTGACCAGGAGCCAATTAGGTCGCGTCTGCGCCTACGGGCGACTATTCTTCATCTTTCAGTAGCAGAGGTTTAGCCGTTAGCCTCAAGCTTTCCAATTGGTTGTCGTAAAAGAGGACGCAGCCAACACGCCTGAGTGCTCGCGATGCGGATGTCCGCTTGGCTGCTTTGACCGCAAGCCATCATAAAGAAGGCTCAACTAATCTAACCATACGTGGCTGCCTAAAGGTCAAAAGCTTCGATGATTGGCGCTAGTGTTTATGGTCAAGTAGGTAATAGTTCCTACTTTATTTTTACTTAAAAATAACTTCCATAACATACTACTGACCAAAAGCAAGTAGTTTTGACCATTCTCACAGACTTGAGTGAATTTAATGTCACGCGTTTAAAAAGCACTCAAATCAAGTAACCGCTAAGGATTATTAGAAAAATGAGTTGAGTTTATGATATACTAGGGTATAATGGCTAGGTAGAGCTTGTAGGTGCTTGGCAAATGCACACCTGCGTTTGAATGCCTTATAAAGTGGCTGGAAAAGAAATGAGCCGGTTTGATAACACAATGCCCCTTTACATCAAATTCTCTACTATCCTCTGCTTACTTTAAGCACGCACCGTCCGAGGCTTGCTAAAAACATCTGGTTCATATGAAGGTAGAGGCATTAAGTGCGGGAACATCCCCAGTTTATATAATGGGCAATGGAGATGGCTGCATGTCTGTTAAGGGGCTAATTTAAGATAATTTGTGCGAAGGACAGCTGGTAGCAGTACCTAATGTGGGCGGTGGCGAATTATTTTGGAAAAGTAAATTGTGAGAGTCAGGGAAATGGGTGTTCCCCATATCCATTGACAACGGTTGAGAGACAATGAGAGGGCACCGATTTTTTCCTGCACTTCTTTCACCCCATAAGACGCCGCTGCTGACCGCCTGATGGGCAAACCTATGATGATAAAGAGTTTTGTGTATTGTATTGTCTACTAAGTAAATAGCTGCATCATTAACTATTCCCACACCATCCACTCACCCCCTCGCTCTGCCCCCCACTACCCGACACCACTTCCTACTTCTAAATCACGCATCATTTCGCCCTCTCGTATGATGGAATGCAGATGGGATTAATTATCAGTAATACCATGTAGAGGGTGAGACAAGATGGATTTGTGAGTGGAACCTCCCTACTGACTCCATACTTGGCAATTAAACTCGATACAAGTTAATGGTTGGCCAGTATACGCCTCTTTGAGAGGTAGGCTGAAGTGTTAATACTAGTGATTCAAACTGGTCGGAAGAAAGCAATGTTTTATCGGAACAGAACATAGCGACGCAAAATAGACAGTTGGGAGTTCAAAACAGGGTGGTGGGTGAGCCACTGCCTTGGTTATTTGCTCGAAGAGACAAGGTCCTTGGTGAGATCATGAATTGAGGCAAGGAGGTGCACTTTCGGTTGGTGAAGGAGTGTACATTGGCTCAAGTATCAAATTTTTAAAACCCCTTTGTCAGCTTTTTAATTCCTAAGTCTCAAAGGCTACAAATTTTTGCGTATTTTACATATTACACCACACTTTTATTGATGAGCTTCAAGCAGCTAAATTCCGGTTAAAAAATTTTTCTTAAAAGGCACCAACTGTTAGCAAGAGTTTTAGCTTACTACTGAGTAGTGGACATTCAGCATCCTTTTCATTTCTGCTCTTTGAGTTTTCGATCGTGTCTACTTCCACCTATTATGTTTATAGCGAATGACATTAACCAGTGCGCATAAGACAGTGGCTGCAGCCTCACGCCAAATTTGAGATGTAGCCGCCGTCGCAGTTAGTCAGCCAAGCAACTCAACCAAAACCACATTGAATGCAACCCCTGGCCGATTGCTTTCCTATATTAAAGTCCAGGTTTAAAAGTTGATTGTCCAAAAGCCAAGCGTTAGTAATTATCAGCACGATCTTGGATTTTAGCTGCATCAATGTTGCCCCCACCCCCCCCCCGCTCCGCCCCAAACCTTCTCCTTCTGCCGCCTTCACCTTTCTCCGACTGCAGTCAAGTTAAAATCTGCACGCAGAATTATTTAACTTTTTACAGGTTTTCTTAATTTATTGCCACTGCACCACAAGGCGACGCACTTGGATAGTTTCATTTGCAGAAATTAGGTCACTTGTATAAAGTGTCGCAAAATTTTCAAGTTAAACAATTTATTCAAACTGTAATAGTAAGAAAAGTAACATTGTAGACCCCTTTTTGGCAAGTAATAATAACTTTTCCTGCATGAAGTTTATATGTCGGGAATTTTTTAAGGTCAAAGAAGCGTGAGCGTTTTTCGAGGTCACAAAAGCAGCTAATTAGTACTAATTAAGAAACTTCGTTTCGCAATTTTCAGTTCTCCCAGGTTTGTTTATATTTAGTGAATCCTAAACAGGACGACAATTTTTAAATATTTGCTATAAAACGCGTCCAAACATCTGAGTCCGAGTCTATTTGTCTGCATTTCGTATTCCCCTTTATGGTATGGCGCTCGAGAGGCCTCCAGCGATTTTATGTGTCAAAGGAATGTTGAAGGCCAGCTGTGTGGCTGACAGCAGGGCCAAAAGGTTGTGGCGCAGGAGAAAGGTAGAGCCTGTGGGTACTCATGTGCCCACACGGTCATATACAGGGTTGAACAAAGCTATAGTGTAGTTATATTTATCAGTTTTAATGACGCCTCACAAATTTTTCAAAATTTAAGTGTTTTTATTTAAATCAAACGGGGGAGGGGGTTATGTATTTGGGTAATGTGATGGGGGAGCGGACAGGTGGGAAAGCTACTAGTTATTCAGAGCTCGAAGAAGAATGGCAGCCACAGCAGTGGACATTCCAAGGCCCAGGAAGGAGAGAAGGGGGTTGACTATAAGTGGAAGGGATTGCCTCACCGAGATTAGCTATCACTCCTAGCAACATTAGTAGCATGGAGGCAGACAGCTGGAGAGAGTTCGAGAATTAACGACCGTCCTTTCTGAAGAGGTCATACCGTCTCACACGTGCTGTAACCACCTTGTTTGCCCTTAGCATCCATAACAGGGAAAATCAGTACAAGCACTACAAACTACTTAGTAAATTGCTCAAGTAGTTTGCGAATGTTTTAATTCATGCATCTGACCCGAAAGGCGGAAGGTTTAGAGAGCTGGAAGTCTCGATTACCAGGGAAAATTTCTACTTGCTTTAGTTAGGTTTATCATTTCAAAATATCCATCTTCCTTAACCTACTAAGCCAGAGAAACGGTCAGGAGAGGAGGTAAGCAGAAACAATCCCTGTCGATATTTATCTTCCTTTTCTATGCTAGAAGACACTTTTTTGTCTCCATTTTGAACACCTGAACTTCCTTCCCCATCTTTACTCTCACTCCAAATAACTTTCCCACTTCTCGTGTGATCAGGCGATCTTCAAGCACCAGACCATGAATGAGAGGAGATCGAAAAGGTATTTCAGGAGGGAGGAGGAGATGCGGGCGGGTGGGCAGAGGTGTGAGTTCGACAATAAAGTAGTCTCTCATGTATCATTTAAGGTCTTGTGCCCCTGCTAAAGATGGCACTTACCTCGTGACTAGTTCATTATCCTCCTGGAAGCTGTTTTTAGGAATCTTTTTCTTCCCATCCTCCACCCCCCAAAGTTATGTGTCCAATCTCCGCCGCAGTTGCCAGCGTGTGACCCGGCAACTTTCGGCGATCCAAAAGAAATATTTATCACCTATTACTACTGCTACCAGAGGAAAACAAACCTTTCAAGTTTTTCTCCTCCTCTCCCACATAAATAATTTAAGACTCGGACCCAAAAAATTGCCACGCCGCAGTGTAGAGTTGCCTTTGCGCCTTTGCTTCAGCGATAGTGAAACAATATCCACCCTAAGGTAATATTTGCCTCTACACAAATAGGACTGAAGCAAATAATGCGCCCTACCCTTCACAAAAGCTGTTTAATGAAAGAGATAAAAAGAAAAGTTTTCCTCACATCGGCTTTTAGTTTGGCCCAAGTAAATCGCTTTCACACGGTCTCATCTTAGTGGAGGAGGCGAAATAGAGGAGTTGAGTTTCACCCTTCTTTCTAGCCTTCTCTTTGCACTTCTCGCCTCCTCCTCTTCATTCGTCTTCTCCTTTATCTCTCTTCCATTTTTACGCACTCAAATAAGTCCTGTCGCAAAAACAAAACAAAAGGGGAAAAGATACAAAAAGTGTAGAAGGAAAAGAACAACAATGAGTTGATAAACTTGGTATTGAGAAGAGTGTGGTATGAAAAGGGAGGGAAGGAGAACGTCCCTTAAAGTTTCTTCTTTACAATGGAATTAGATAAGTTGAGGGGCAATTTAGGAGTGCTTGCTTCGGAGGAGTGCGGGTGAAACACTGACATTGATCATAACCGACACTTCCTAGGCAGCAGTAAGGAGTGGATGAGGTGTAGACAAGTCTCCCGAAATTTGCTCGACAGCGCACAGTAGAGGAGAAAGTTGCCACTGTAACACAGCAGTGTCAGGAGGTCCATGAAATCGCCCAATTTCTCGTACACCATCACCTCAAAACACGTGCCGTAGATGATCAGGAGAAGCAGCATTATTGCCTAAAGGGGAAAAAGCATGAGGCCTTAGCTGCCCTCCCAACTGTCCTGCTGAGTACTTAGCAGATGTTTTCTAACACACCGTGTCGCAACGGTGTTTCTACACCTGCTAAAATTGTCTCAGAGAAGGGTACAAACTTGGGCTGACTCCCAAAGAAAAAAAGGACTTAGCGCGGCCGAAGTCTTTTACCGCCTTAATTAAGCCAATGCTCGGATTCCACATCTCTCTCTCTCTCTCTCGTCTTTTTGTGCTCCACTCTATACAGGCGGGAATTTGAGGGTAAAAATGGGATTCGTCTTGAAGGAGGTTCGGCAAATGGAAAGGGAGCGAGTCTTGTGCAATTCTAATGGAATTTGTTTACACTAGCAGGAGGGAACCTCCTTTCACAGAAGGATAAAGGAAACTTTTTTTTAGGAATTATTTAGGTTAAGTGTGGAAACTAAATGGAAAAAATTCCCCGATTAAGTGATAAATAAGAAAACATTTTGTACGTTACATGCGAGTTTCCTCATCTTCTAAGAATTAAAAAAAAAAAAAATATCCATGCAAGTGATTTCCACTTTTATTCTATTTTGTTATTTTTTTCTGAATAGGGACTAATATGTAAATTGTCAGCTAGGTAGAGAACAAAATGTTTTCCTGACAAAATAATTTGTTTATTTTTCCGAGAACAAGAATAAGTCAAGTACAAGGAATAAACAAAAAAGGAAAAATTGAATTAGGGCAAGAAACTTTCGTAATTAAAGGGCAAATAAGGCTAATCATATTTCGTAGGCAGATTGTTTAGATTTGTTAAAATAATGGGTCTTCAATTCAAGCCCGTAAAAGTAAAATTTAACCTCTTCTAACTGTTTTGTCTTTAGTTTGCCCCCATTTTCCGAAAAAAAAAACGTGTGAGTGATTAGTTCGGAAGAGAAAAAAAGTAAACAAAGAACCGTCGTGATATTTGCACATCTCTCACCGAGTGAAAAACCTGGCCATCTGCCTTAATAGCACCAGTTTCTTCTTCCTAGTTTTTCAGGGCATTATGGCTTTTCAAGGCTTTTTTGCTTGAGTGGGGTTGTTCTAATCCGACTCCATTGACCCAAACTTTTCTGATTAAGAGGTCAATTCAATGTCGGGCGTAGCTCTAGTTGTGGGAGGCAAAATTCAGTGCGACCGTCTAGAGGGTATCCACCCACGCGGCTTGGCTTTGTCCCAGACTGGATGTTTTGATACAATTTAATAAGTGAGTAGGACATTTCGCCTTGCTCGGTGGTGGTATTGTTTAAGGGGGGATTAAGTTATAGACCCTAGTCCCAGTTTGTGGACATTTTTTTGGCTTTGTTTGTCCATAACCCGACAAAACACTTGCGGATAAAGCTGCGCACTCGAAGTGCTGACTAGCTGCTTTGGCTTGCTTTTTTAACTGCGTCCCTTCACTGCTATTATTGCTGCTGCTAATAATAAGATCTGGACGTGCGAATACCGCAACTTTATAGGGGGAGAAAACTAAGGGAATGTGAATTCATTAAAACACTCCCACGCGTATGAGCGTGCTGGCGAATTTAATCACATTTCAGAGGGCGGGAGTTTCCACGAGGCGAGGCGACATCAGAAACTAACTTTTGAGTGGCTGCGCTTGAAAGTAAACAGTGACAAAGGCTTTCGCGAAAAAAACAGCTACGCTACGGTAAGCTAGATCAAAATCATCCAGCAACTTTTTTAATTCATGGCCTCAAATTCACACTTCTTGTTCTCAATCATATTCAACCGGCTTCAAAATAAAAGCACGATAAGAGAGTATAATGAATAGAATTTGCCAAATTTAAGTCAAAAAAAGATCATCTTAACATTTTCATCATTCAGGAGGAAGCGAAGAGAAGCTGCTTCAATTTTATGGAAAGCATTTGTTATGTCAAAGCTCAATTGGTAAGCAGACTTAAATATTTTATCGCCACGGCATCGTATCTTCGAAAGAAATTTTTTGTTTTTTTTTTTAATCAAATTCCGCAGATAAAACTTGCAAGAGAGGGGAGGACTTTCTTAGTGCACTTGAAACTTCAAACAAAGTGATTTGCGCACTTGTTCTCACAATTTTTTTCACAAGTTGGTTCAAAAGTCTAAATTCCAGTAAAGGAAAAAGGTTCACTTGCGTTTTTTGGACTATACTTTCAGGGTCCTATTTCGTAATCATTATTTCAAAGTGGAAAAATTTATCTTAACAGAAGAGGTAAATACTAAACGCAGCAAGCTTAATAAGTTTACTTATTTTTTCTTTATTATGCAAATGCAAGCTTTTTCTCATTCATTTATGCCATAGGAAATAGGTTAAGAATTAGCACTTAATTAATGAGCGTTTTAATGGACTAAAAACACTGCCTACTTTAAGCAGATGTGGTCACTTTTAGGAGACGGTATATAAGGTCACCTATGGTATCTACCTATTTAAGTTTTTTAAGTTTTGTTTTTCAAATCTCACCTGAGGCAAATAAGTGATGATGTAGAGCACAGTGAGGGCAATCATGATGTTCGTCGTTTGATATATATTCCGGCTATTCGAGTCATGATCATTAGACCTCCTTGTTGACGGTCTTTTGAAGTTCTTGGTATTATTATCATTGTTAGATTGTTCTGTCTGGATAGCAATAAATCTCTGCTCTGTGTCTGTTTTCTCATTTTGCAGTCGGATCCGTCGCTTTTGCGACTTCAGTAGTGTCCGAATTAGCAAGGCAGTAAAGATGGTACTTAGCACAATGGGCAAGACCTTCATAAACACCCCTGTGGTTACTAACAACAATGTCGTCAATGAGTAACTTGATACAAAGTCGAGTTTGAAAGTGACAGTGCCATTGACAGAATGTGTACTATCCTTGACCACGTGGTGAGCGAACAAAAATGGCGCTGAGAGGATAAGCGATATTACCACATTAGTAAGAATGCCAATTTTGGCTCGATTGTAGCTACACGTGTGTAGTGCGGCAACTCCTGCTCGCATGAAGGCAAGTCGGAATGCAGTGAGAAAGACAATCATCCATGAGGCGAAGGCGTGGAAGAGATTTTGAGCATAGACCAAAGTGAAGAGAGTATAGGCGTAAGGCCTCGACATACCCAATTCAAGTTTTCGATCAATGCGGTACATAGTGACGTAGAATATGTAAATGGCCATGACAGTACCCTCACCGATGGATAGAGCTGCTACTAGGAGGTTTGTCGAGGACTGCATTCCCGGTTGGTTGAGGACGACGACGTTAATAGCGTTGGCAAGTACCCCACAGACACAGATGGTCAGACTGAGGGGAATGTGAACAATGTCGTAGCTATGAGTGAAGGCGTGAAAATTGGAGTACTCATACGACGAGCAGTTAGGCATGGTGTCTGTGGCACGGATGAGTATTGCAAATGTGGGCAATTCCGATGAGAGTGACTCGATTTTGAATAAAAAATCGCCAAAATTGTGGGATTGGTGCGCATGGGACAACCAATCCCGGCCCAGTGTAGCGGTCGCCTGCAAGGGCAAACGCATACACAGGGCGGGCTGGAGGTAAGGGAAGCCTTATTAGGACTAAAGAAAAAACAAGAATAGACACGTTTTTTCGGGTCAACATGGAATTTAGGGCTGAACTTTTGCTAGTGGCTAATCCATCGGGAGCTAGGTAAACGTGGGAGGACAATCACATTAATCTTGATTGTGCCGTACAATCTAAAAGATATGCCTTTCAAAGGGTGAAAGACGGGCCAGTTTACCCACTGAGCATGAAAGTTATGTGAATAGTTTTTTTATTTTCGAGAAAGAGGCAAATTTTAGATTATTTATGATGCGTAGTGGTTAACTATTCAAAAAATCTTGTTTTATCAACAGAGGTAAATCGTGGTCCACTGACGATATTTGTGGCAAATTTTTTGAAACAAAGGTACGCTACTGGGCAAGAATTTATTGGAGGTGTCCAAAAGCTGATTGGAATACGAGTAGACTAAAACGGTGTCCGTTGAGACAAATACGCAGTGAAAGCCAGACACCGTAGGTGTGGTTTTTAAAATACCCAAGACAGGTAGAATTATTCCAGTGAAGCATTGTTACAGACACTTTATTATTTTCACTTAAATGGAAAAGGATAATTAAAAAAGGGTCCTTTAACTCTGGTGTCGGAAATTTAATGACTCTCAGTAGTTCTACATTTCAGCTTTTTTTGAGATAGCAAATGTCGGGGCTGGTTAGACTCCACCCTCGGTTGATTAGCTAAAAAACCTGCAGCGCTGATTTCATTTACCAACTTCTTAGTGAAAAACGCAAAAACTGTGGCTGAAAATTTTGTGATATCAGAGTGGGCAAATGTTCGGCAAAACAACTTTTGGGAAGCAAATAACTCAAAGTGGAGCGGCCTAGTTTTGGTTTTGATAGGTATAATAGTCTTGCGGGAGCTATTTGCAATGAATCTGCTATTTGAAGCACTTTTTCTTGTCTAAAGCAAACAAATGAGCTAACTTGGAAGGTACAACAGGCAAATACTGTAGTTTGGCACTACAAGCATTGATCCTGATGGTGGTGGCTAAGACTCCCTTCGAATCGTCCACGAATGCTGTCCACTTAAATAGGATGGGTGATCTTCCACCTGCGGAGGACCAAAAGGTGGCGCAATGGAAGAGCAAATCAAAGCCTTCCCTCAGACAGGAACGCGTCTCATATGTTGGTCCTTTTTTGTAAACATGATTGTTTTTACTTGATTGCTTGTCGTGGTTTCAATCAACCACCTCCTACTTGCAAACTGACTGCGCTGAGGGGGTGTGACATGCCCTAGGGGAAGTTTATCCACATGATATAGCTGACGGCAGCACCAATCAGTCCGCGAGTTCACAGGCACGTGTCAGGGAGGGGATGATGCACTTTGGCTGGACCACATGCCATGCTAAGTGACAAGTCTGTCTCCCTTTATCTCATGCTAAGTAAGCTTCTACTTCTCGTGAGAGAAAGCGTCAAAGTGGTGGATTTCGAGGGACCACTTGAAGCACAGATGTGTGAGGTGATGGAACACCCAGCCATCCACTCACTGAATGGCGACTTGGTCTCAAATGCCATCTCACCGACTGTGAGTATCAGTGGCAGTGCTGACCATGGTGGTGCCATGCCTTTCCAATCCGACAGCACAACAGTCATCTCTGTGAATAGACATCTGGCTGGATGGCGACAAGCTTTTTTGCCTATGTCCAAACCACTACAAATTCTTTTAGTTTGCATCATTCCCAAATGTCCCAGTTTTGACATAAAAGTACTCGTTTCTTATTAAACAAACTAGCGTATAATTCATCCATGCCAATCTTTTAAGATACTTGAAGGCAATGATAGTTTTAGGAACTAAAAAACAACGCAAAATCCTTTGAAAGTTTGGCAAATGTGATAGAGAAGGCGAATGGCGACTTATCATTGTCGTGTTTACTTTACCACCTACGTCTCACCTCAGCAATTCTGGGCTGGCATGGCAGAGACATCGACAATTTAAGCAACAGAAAGGCAGGAAAGCTAATGTTAACCTCCTCTTTCTTTTCCAAAAAGAAAGTGACTTACAAAATCTGTTGGTTTATTTCTGGGATAACGCGCCAATGGAAACACCCACAATGTGAACCAGGAGAGGTAGATGGATCACTCTGTATCTGCACTCCCATTTCTTATTCCTCGGTTTATATTTCAATCTATAATAAAATATTTCCTCCCAATTTTTCATACCGCTAGCAGTAAAGAAGACAATTCTAAAATGGGAGGGGAAATAGGGGCAAGCAGTGGCGGGTCTACCAATTTCATGCCTATGCTGTCAGTGAGGACTTTTCCACCATCAAAAGACGATCCACAGAAGGCAACATTGATCCCTCCAATCAGGTGGAAATTCCATTCAAACAATAAAATTGGCTGCACGGGCAAATTTGTTGATGATTCCCGTTCAAAATATAAGGTGTGAGAGAAAAAATTAGCCTTAAGTGCGTAAATGACAGGATTGCATGTGCATGACAGCTGAGGCAAGTGGGTGAGGAAGGGAGTGTGGTGAGGTGCTGGACGTTGCTGCTTTGCAAATCATGCACTCATCTGAGTGTATCAAATATCACACTTCCTCCTCCTCCTCCTCCTCCTCCTCCTCCTCCTCCTCCCCCTCCTCCTCCTCCTCCTCTTCCCTCCCTTCCCTTCCTTTCTAAAAGCGTTATCAGCATAGCACATGGAGGGATTGTAGCAGCCGACCACCTTCCTCTCCTTCACAATGCCAACTAAACACTGCCTTGTAAGTCGATTTCGTGTTTCCATTGTTTTGCTTTTTGCCTTGCCCATGGTTGTGATTGTAACAAAGTGGAATAATGAAGAGGTCTGCATCCACCTCTGTTCATTGATGGCTGAATCTGCTCATCTCCTTCTTTTTCTCCACTTGCGTGTGTGACGGGAGTGTTCGCTCTC